CCATGACTTTATGATGGTTTTTTTGTGTGTGTTTCAGGTGTAGAGGGTGTGGTTGCTGCCTACCAGCAGTGTCTGCCTCAGGTGAAGCTTTACGGCCCAACAAACTTTTCCCCAATCATCAACCACGTCGCCCAATTTGGAAGACAGGCGCTGCAGCAGCAAACTGCATCTGTGAGTCACAGAAAGTTTGGAATCAATCAAAGCAGTCCTAATGTCAACTGACTGCTCCACTCTGCTGCTTTTTTTGTTCCTGTTGTCCTGATGATTCACAGCAATACTTTGTTCTCCTGATCATCACTGATGGAGTAATCACGGACATGGACGAGACGCGCAACGCCATCGTCAACGCCTCTCGTCTGCCCATGTCTATCATCATCGTCGGGGTCGGAGGGGCGGACTTCAGTGCCATGGAGTTCCTGGATGGAGACGATGGAGTTTTGCGTTCGACAACAGGAGAGAACGCCATGCGGGACATCGTGCAGTTTGTGCCATTCCGGAAGTTCCAAAATGTAAGCCGTGGCAAGCTATAAAGCACACTCTTTGTCCAGATGCACCAACACCACCAACATTTGAATGTTTGCACATCTTATTTCAGGCGGGCAGTGCAGCCCTTGCACAAAGTGTACTGGCAGAGTTGCCTGACCAACTGGCCTCCTTCTTCAAGTTATTTGAGCTGAAGCCCCCCACTGAACCGAGTCCTACCTAAAATGTGCAGGAGTACCCCAACCAACACGCTGATCGTGCCCGTCATCCTTCCCTTCATTTGATCCGAGCTGCAATCAGGATTTATAAATATCACAGTAACCTTGCTTTTTCAAGGTTATGTCATGCCTTGATTGTTCACAGTACGTGGTGCATTAAGTCATCATATACTGTAGGTTTGTATGAGCACAAAACGGTAACTTAATGATGCACGACTCTGTCGAAGCCATGTGAAGTTTTCTAGCTTTTCTAGCTCTGGTTTTATTGGCTGTAAGAACATGTGACTAGCTTAAACTTTAAACACCTTCTCTTGGGTGCTCTTCTCAAATTACAGCTGCAGCTCTGCAACCTCCCTGCTTTCTTTTCTAACTGCATGTTTCTGTGTGTGTGTTTGGCACACTTTCACTGTTGCTCTGTCTCTGCCCTTTGTCTCAGTGTCCTAAAGAACTGCTTGCTCAGAGCGTCCTGGCAGAAATCCCAGATCAGGTGTCTGGCTTCTTCAACACCTTCAATTTGAAGCCGCTTGAGAGCTGCACACCTACTTCTGACCTCTCAGCATCTGCGCCACCCCTTCTGTGATTTATTCTGAAAACTATCTTTCCTTCTTAATGTCTTACCTACAAATGTCTTGTGATTCCTCACCTGAAATTTTTTAGGAAAACTTCCTGCAGCTACAGGGTAAAGCCATACTGCATTAATGTTATCAAAGATTTCCTAATATTTACTAATATGTGGAAATGTATGTCAGTTAAGTGCCAGATATAAATGTTGCTTTTATTTTATTACCTTTATTAAAGGATTTATTGTAACTGTGTTGTATTGGGTGAGTTGTTGACTGTTAGTCACATGACAGGGCCTGGAGTATTTAACTGGGTACTCCAAGTTTGTGCTGATATCATCTCCTCTGTATTACAGCCATAACTTCTTTGTTGGTTTTCACATTTCATGTTGTAATGGAAAATATACATTTCAGTTTAATACATTTCAATTTAATATTTCCAGCAGATTTCAGGTGTGATGCAGTAAGTTTTACAAAATGAATCCATATGTACTGATCCCGATGTTCAAAATAATACATTTGTTGTTCTGTTTTTATAGACTTTTTTACAGTTATGTGATTTTGATTAAAAATACTAAATGTGCTTGCATGTCTTAACCAAAAAGAATCAAAGTGATTAAGAAAATCCTTTTTTTACACAGTGTACCTTTTTGATTTTTACTTTGTCTTAATAAGAGGAAGTAGCAAAAAATGTACTTCAACATTTATTAAATCCCCCGATACATTTCCCTTGGTGTATGTGTAAATTCATTGTTGATATTTGGAGCTGTTTACACTGATGACTGTGGCGTTGCCTTATGCACTATACATGTCTTTGTAATGGACGCTAACTTTGTCAGTATTTTACTTTGATATAAAACACAGTGGAAGGAAAAATACCAGGAGTTATCCTTCTGCATTCTTGTCATGGTGAAAAATACTGCAACAGCCAGTTTCGCATGTTGTTCTTTGTGTCTGTGTGTAACCCAGTTCAAGAAATATTTCTTAGCTTTACAGGTGAAACTTCAACTCACTGGTGCAACTAAAGCAAAATCTCTTCCCTGTCAGTTTTGGTATAAATCTATATTTTAAAAAAATGAATTTTTGGTGGTTTTTTTTATTTTTATTCAATGCTATTTATATTCCTTATTATTCTGTTTTATTTTCTCTTTATATATATTTTTGCAGGTAATACAATAAAAGTAACAACAATAAATATAAATATATTAAAGTGTGTCTCGTATGCTTTTATTTTCCAGTAATACCTACAAAATAAATCATTAGATACTGCAACAGAATGAAATGCCATGACTGCAAACTTGGAAGAACGCTGACCTAGACAGAGCAATGATATATGTTAAGGCAGCATCATTTTCAAAGGTCTGGAGGCAGAAATGACTCAATGATGTGATAATGCGACTGGGCTTGAGTACTGTTATTTTTCATTAACATGAGATTAGAGCAAGCGTTTAACCAGTAGGAATGTCACTAATTACATTTACTACTTTAATCCACTATTACTTCATTTAGGTATTTCTATATTGTGCTCATTTGTGTTGCACCCGTGTTGTAGAGTGCTGCTTTTAAAATACTTGCTTGTTTGTCCAAAAGCCTCTTATAGCCTTCAAGTTAAAATTTAATTCACTAAAATTAAATAATTGTAAATATAATCTTAGGTCTCTGAAAAACATCAAATGCTCACGCGATGGTCTGCAACGCAGCGGAGTGAAGCCACTGAGCAGCCCAACTTTCTCCAGGTGAAATCAGTTTCTCCTGGTGATGTTTTAACACAAAACGTTTAAGACAAATAAGTTTGTAATGAATTAAATGTCTGCTGAAGGTTACGGATGGTTTAGTACATACATTAATCACATGCAGTAGTGCGGCCACATTTAAAAATATTACCCAAAGCACTTCACCGAGCAACAAAAACAAGTTTCCTCAGTGAGTGGTAGAAATGGTACAAACAGTAAGTTATTTTAAATCAGAATTATATTCAAACTGACTGAAATTTTGCTTTTGACAGCCACTCAAAACCTTTCTGAACATGGCCATGATGAAACAGAAACCTCACAAAACCAGAGAAATGTCCTTAAGATCTTAGATCTAATAAGCAAACATGATGCATTAGTGAAAAGACGACCGTCACAAGGTCCCACAAACGCAAAATATATCAGCAAAAGCACTCAAAAGGAGATTCTGGGATATTTGGCTGAAGTGGTGAGTGAGGAAATCCTCAAGAATGTTAAAGAAAGTTAACATTTTTCTATTTTGACACATGAGACAAAGGACATAAAAAACAAAAACTGAGCAGTCGTCTCTAGTTGTAAGATATTATTATGATGGTGCGACTCAGGAGAGCTTCCTTGAATACCAAAGAGCAGAACAATTGGATGCTTCCAGTTTAAGAGAGAAGATCATTTGATGTCTGGAGAAGTAAGAGATGTAATATAAAGAGAACGTGGTGCTGACTCTGTGAAAGATGTCGCAGAAGCTGCATGTTTTATACATGACATGACTGTATACATTCATGTCAGGCTCACATCACAATAATCAGATTAATATTCAAAAAGAAATGTTCGGTATGCCAGCACAAGAATGACCAAAACTGAGTGACCCTAGGTGGTCCTGTTGCTTTGCTACGCATAAAAACCTTCCTGGCAGGTTGTCTGCAGTAATGAGAGTGCTGGAGGAAAATCCACAAAATGCTGTAGATGCAAGAGGATTACGCTCTCAGACTGACTCCACGGGACTCCTTATGGTCTTCAGAAAATTTCTACGTGAAACAAAGATTTTGTCTGAGAAGCTCCAGTCAATAAATGTGGACCCTGCCAAAGCAGCTGACCTTAATGAAGCCCTCCGACAGACGTTTGAAGACTGCCTCAAAGAGGAGAGCTTTGATGAGCTGTGGCGTATAGCCACTGAAACATGCAGTAGTTGCCATCTTTCTACCATTGCCAAATCAAAAAGACCAAAACAAACATCTAGCAGACTATCTGATAGTCTTAGTCTTATCTACATTTGGACAGAAAACAAATGTCAACAGCAAAGATGCCTTTACAGTCTCTATATTCCTTCCCATTATAGATAGGTGAGATCATTTCTCCATATATGACTCTGAATTGCAAGACTTACAAACTGAGATGTGCCATACAATACGACTTCTTGAAAGAAACAAAGCAAATGGCAGAGAGTGCCCATCCAGTTTGTGACATTCCTGGAACCTTGGAAGGAGGTCTTCTTGGAATTATTTTGCTTGTGCAATTGTCTGTGTTTCCTTAGAAGAGGTAATGATGCAATTAATAGTTTTAAAGCATTTTTGTGGATATTTTGTTGAGTCCATTTACACATAGGGGATTTACACATACATCACTGAAGATGTGCCACCCTGCCGAGATCTCTTGCCCCTCCTTTGCCACCCCAATGTAAAATTTTCTAGATCCGCCACTGCTGAAGTAAAAAGTGAGAGTTTTTTTCCCCATATTTTGCAAAACCATTATCCAACACTAAAGTATGTTTAAACTCTTGTGCAGCTCCACTTTTCACGTAATAGATCATTAGCAGGACAAAATACTGCATATGAGTTTGAAAACTGTACCCAGTGTTTTGTTTTTTGGCTTTACTCGAGTTTAAAGTAGTTTACACTGGTTTTATATCAGATTGATCATATATCCCCCTCTTGCCCTTAGCCCCCCACCCAGCCACCCGCACACACAGATTCCTGGTGACGCCCCTGTTCGTTTAAAGTGGTGGGCGTGGTTTCGTGCTTTCGAGATTAAGCGGACGGGAGCTACTTTTCCTTACAAGAGCACTATGCCAAGGGAGTGTTACCAGTGTCGGTTATAGTAGCCAATATTTTCTTTCCGTGAGTCCCATAACGCGTCTCACACTTTCAAAGGTAAGCCTGAATTTAAACTAGCTATTACTAATTTTGCGGAAGTTGACGTGGTATACCAGCTAACCTAGTTAGTTGTCAGTTTATTAGCCCTGTGAGCCTACGAGCAGTCTTTTTTTTAAAGTGCTCTTTAGCTTTTCTGCTCCACACCCACTGCACGGCATTAATGGTTGTGTCACATTTTCCAAGACACTGTGCAGCAGAGAAGCATTGTACATAAGTGAATTCATTGGCTACCTTAGTCATAACGGGATAGTGTAACGTTAGCACCCCTAATGTAGTGTAACGTTAGACCGCTAATAGTTAAACGTAATGTCGAAGCAAAAAAATCCTCCCGAAAACAAAAAACAAAACAAACCCGTCTGTGTGTTAGAACAACATCACTGCCTAGCTGCACGAATGGTTTCGTTTAGAGGGAGGCTGGGAGGGCTAACAGTAGCGTCACAATTATATACCTACGTAAACAAACGCAAAAATGTCAGTATTTCAGGACGATCTTCACTAAACATTACCACAGCCACTTACTGTTAAATCAGGGCTCATAGTACTGTGTAGTGCAATGTGTGTGTGTTTTTTTAACACCTCTATGTTGTTGTCTTCCCAGTTTATTACCAGTCAGACATGGCTGCCCAGTGTGTAACCAAGGTGGAGCTGACTGTGTCCTGTGAGAACCTCCTGGACAAAGACGTCGGCTCAAAGTCAGACCCCCTGTGTGTCCTGTTAATGAACAGCTCTGATTCTCAGTGGTATGAGGTCAGTGTGTTTAGCAGGTCTAAATGATTTGAGTGTCAAACCCACCATCATGAGCCTGTATTCCATACCAACTTTGAAAGGAACAGATAGATTCCTAAGAGTCTCTCCCTACACTGGAAAGCTGATAAGACAGGATATTGGAAAGCCCACATGTTCTCTAGGTGCAATCGGTTATATCACTGTAGTAGGAGAAAAGCTACAGTTCAGTGTTAATTGTTAACAGTGTTAAAAGCCCCCTGAAGGGATAGTTTCCATTTCCTGTTTCCTCACTGTGTGTCTCAATACAAACTACTGCTTTGTGAAGAGTTCACAGCACTAATTTCTCTCTGACTAACTGATGCAATCTTTTCTAACAGGTGGGTCGCACAGAGAAAGTCCAGAATTGTCTCAGCCCAAAGTTCGCAAAGAAGTTTGTCGTTGATTACTACTTTGAAATAGTGCAAAAGCTGAAGTTTGGAGTTTATGACATTGACAACAAGACAATTGACCTGACTGACGATGACTTCCTGGGTGAACTAGAATGCACCCTGGGCCAAGTAAGGTTTCCTTCTCTTTTCCTCTTTCTGTAAGGCTGAAGGTTTTCAGCGTTCAAAATTTCAGAATTCATTTCTGTTAAATGAAGTAAACAAGATTTTGCAGGTGCAAAACTGGTAGGACTTATACTTTGCTGTAAGAGGACACTACAGTGTTACCATGTTGCAGATGAAACATTAACATCCCTGATAAGCAGTTGCTGGTTCGACTCTTATCAGTGTAATGTGACCTCATGTGTTCATTATGCCCGATTTGTCATTTGCTTAATGGTCTGCAGGCTGCTGTGTATTACTCATTTATTCTCTTGTCTTCATTCTGAGCCTATTCATTCAAATTCTTTTGCTGTGGCTAATTGTCTTTGTCAAAGTGCATGTTTTTTTGCTTGCTTTTAGGTTGTATCTAGTAAGAAACTGACCCGACCGCTTGTGTTGAAGAACAAATCACCAGCAGGGAAAGGGACCATCACAGTGAGTGATGCAGAAAGCTGCAGATAAACAGTTGGATGGTGTTGTTTTGCTTTTGTCTCAGTCATTTATCTTTAATTGTGTTATAGATCAATGCAGAGGAAATAAAAGACAATAGGGTGGTGAATTTTGAAGTGGCAGCAAGAAAACTAGACAACAAGGTATGGCTGATACAGCGTTATAACTTAAATTCATTCTTTCATTTTTAAGTATTATTGACCTCATTCCCTTTATTCATTTTCGTACGCAGGATTTGTTTGGAAAGTCCGACCCCTACCTGGAGTTCTACAAGCAGACAGAAACAGGCTGGCAGCTGGCTCACAGAACAGAGGTGAACACAAAGCTTTTACACTGCTCCTGCCTATCCAAAAGATACCAAAAAACAGAACTAAAAGTTGTAACTAGATACACAGATGAGGACAAAATGATCAAAATTCTACCAAGTGCTTTGTTTTTTTAACAGGGCACTTCTAAATAGGGCTGTGCAATATGACCAAAATCTCATATCCCGATATAAGAATTCTATCGTCCCGATAACGACATAAATCACAAAAATGTAACATTTTCTCTAAATTCTGTGAGTCGAGTGTTTTAACCGATGCATGAAAAGATACATTTTTAGACATAAGTTGTAACAGCCGCCGTTTTCTTTGTGAGTATTTATTACACGGCGTGCTGCGGGGAGAAGCCTGTTCTAACGTTTGACTCTAAGGTTTATTTTTTAGCACCTGGCGGCTCTTTTTTTACTTCTCATCCGTAAATAATCTGCTCTTTCACGTGATTCAGTTTATTTTGAAAAGTCTCAACAGGATCTTGAGCTTTATTGTGAAAGGTCAATGTGGAACATAAACAAGCGGACACGCGATGCTGTTACCGTCGTTGTTGCTAACCACAACGCATAAAAACAGGCGCTTGTCCGTCCATAGTGTGGTTATATTAAATATAAGAGAAAGAGAGAACTTTAAGGAATTAATATAGCCACTGCAGTGACCATCAAAACGATGAAACAATATTGCCGTAAACAGTTTATTTTGCGACACCACGAAACAAACGATAGCGTAAAATGAAACGATAGACGTTTTTATATCATCATCTGATATATATCGTCATATCGAACAGCCCTACTTCTAAAGAAAACTAATATATTTAGAAGACACATTATTTCTATTTGCACACAATAACAAAATTACTCCAGAAAAATGACCGGGGTCAATATTATTAGTACCCTGATAAACGGACCTTTTCATTGAGCTGTAGCACAGACCATTGCTGTGCAATGATGTGATTTTAGCTATTTAATGTTCAGAGGTTGTAAAATGAAGAGGGGAAGACTATCTTTAAATTTACACATACTATAAAAACATCAGGAGAGGTTTGAGCTGTCACTGGAGAAAGCGTCATGCCAAAAATGAAAGCAATCAGTTTTGACTTGAGAAAAGAATTGATGCTCACAGAGGAGGAGATGGATGTGCAAAGTTATCACAGCATTTCTGAGTGTCAAGAGCTACAGCGAGAAGTATCAATTCAATATTGTTATGATTGGAGAAAGAATGGAGAGGCGTACAACCCAAAGATCATCATCATCTCCACAGTGAAACATGGTGGTGGGAATATTATGCTGGCGGATGCTTCAGTGTGTCTGAAACTGGGAATCTCATCAAGGTGGATGAAATCATGAAGAACGATATGGGAAGTAAAGCAATGACCCATCAATTATGGCAGTCATGGCGAAAAACTATCTGCAGAAGACCAAAGTTTCTCCTTATCTCTAACTTTTCTCTGATGGAGGAACAGTGATTTTTCTCTTCACCCTCAATATTCAGGGTGAAAAGAGGAACTTCTGATGGTGTAACTGTTAAACACAGCTTTTGCACAATTATTATTAGCTAACACTAGCTTAGTTAGCAACTGCTCAGACACACATAGCTGCTAATTATCGGTGAATTACATACATCTCTCTCTTGGCAGTGTGTACCTCACAACAGGATGTATTATTTATCTGATAATACAATTACAATGTTCCATAAGGCACTAACAGCAGAACACTCCAGTTTAGTGACTGGATTTGGTGGAGGTGAGACGTAGCAGATGGCTTTAGGCTGTCTCTTCTCATCTACCTGTCAAAGAGGCCACACCCTAACTTTAAGTCTTAACCAAACAGGTGAGTGATTATAAAAGCTAGAGAGCCTGATACAAACAGTTTTCCGTACCAGGTTGTAAACCTGTTAATTTAAATTTTGAAGTTTGGCATTTTGAGAAGGGGGTTGACTCTGTTTTAGAGTCAGGCTCCAGACTCTATATTGTTGTTGTTCAGTGAGTCATGGCATTAACTTAAGCCTGTGCTTTGTTTCTCAAATACTGAAAACCGGTTTTGATCCAAATGTGAGGGTGTATTTATAGCTTTTCTTTCTTGGAAGGACTGGGCTCTTGTTTGAGACCAAATAAGCTCCAGAGGGGAAAAAACATTTTTCCTCCTCCATGTGGTGCTCTCCAGCACCTGATCAAGAACTCTCTGTATTTCTGATACTAAAATTTCCTTTGTTGGATAACAAACTGTAGCTGTAGCTTTTGCGTTGTTGTTATTAGGTGGGCCGCCTACCAGTTGGTGACACAGCATCAACAAACCACAGATGAGATAAAAGGAGCATATTTGACATTTTCTCCAGTGACATGTTGACTAAACCAGACCGACTGGACTTGTAGTATCCTGCAGCATCTGATTGTGATGAACTTTTTCTCAGGTGGTGAAGAACAACTTGAATCCAACATGGAGGCCGTTTCGAATCCCTCTGCAGTCTCTCTGTGGAGGAGACATGGAGAAGCCAATAAAAGTAAGTAAATGATTTCAATCCACTGGGCACCTACAATCACTCAGATTTTTCTTGTTGAGTTCAAATTCACTGTTCTGCTTTAGAGCTGTCGGAGTAAGTGGTACTTCAAAACATACAAAGTAACTAGCGTGTTACAAATTAGCTTGATGATATTTTTTTTTAACCTCTGAAGCAAACATGTCAGGAAGGAAGCACTTTCCCACCATAGAGGACAAGTGAGTTATTTGTGAATCAAAGTATTTGTATTTTTACATCTCTCCATCGTTTCCTGTGTGATGTGTGCGTGAAAGGAGCAGATTGGGAACAAGGCGGGGTCTCTGCAAGGTGCTCGCCACTTTTATCAAGTTTACCATTCGTGAAAAGCAACACATACAAGTCCAGTCATTTTACTGTCCGCCTCTCTTCAAGAACACGTGGAGTACAAAGTGTTCATTTGAGTGTTACCTTTGCATGTTGTTTGTTTCTTCTGTTTTGTTTGTCTGCAGAGAGGAACTTCACCAAACCTTTTCTCATTTGTCTATAATGGCATCCAGCACTGCGGATATTTTTAGTTTTTATTCGGAGGCCTCCTAGTTACTGAGAATAATCCCATTTCCATAGAGAAAGTATTCTTAGCAAAGTCTGGTTATTTATTACTTTTCCCCTCCAGTTTAACTCGATCACGACCAAATGTTTTTGCCCGTTTTCAGGTTGAGTGTTACGACTACGACAATGACGGGTCACATGATCTTATTGGAGTCTTTGAGACGACAATGAAACGCCTCCAAGAAGCCTCACACACTTCTCCGGTATGAAAGTACTGCAATATGTGGGCAGCTCAAACATTTCTGCACTGTGTTTGAGTTGATGGCTAAAACTGCCCTTTGGTCTCTGACATTGCAACAGAATGTGGCCTTTACTGTGGTTTTATTCTTGCAGGCAGAGTTTGAATGCATCAACAGTAAAAAGAAACAGAAGAAGAAAGGCTACAAGAACTCTGGTGTTGTGAGCGTAAAGCTGTGCCAGGTGTGGTACTGATTTTTGTTGTTGTTTTGTTTTTGCTTTTTGCTATTTAAACTGACTTGATGACCAGTATATTTGTTCCAGGTGGTGAAGGAGTATACCTTCTTGGATTATATTATGGGAGGCTGTCAGATTAACTTCACTGTGAGTCTCGTCTTCTCTGTTTCTTTCCCGTTTTCATTCATTCATCTTTGCAGTAAGGTTTTCTATAGCTTCATCTGTATGTTTGCCAATAGGTGGCCGTTGACTTCACAGGTTCCAACGGGGATCCTCGGTCACCCCAGTCTCTGCATTACATTAGTCCCCAGGGTGTTAATGAGTATCTCACTGCAATCTGGTCAGTGGGTAATGTCATCCAGGACTATGACAGGTAGGAATATATTTCACATACCTGGTATTATTAGTGTAAACTATGAGATATTTAAAGCTACTTAAGTAGAGTTGTATGATAGGGACTCATTTAACTTGGCTGATAACTGTATCAACTTATTGGCAATGAAATCTATGGCTCATAATTCAAATAAGCTTTTGGTTTGTCTTTCATGTTTAGTGATAAGATGTTTCCTGCATTTGGCTTTGGAGCCCAGATTCCACCCACATGGCAGGTAAAGCTTCTGTTTATATGAAATGACACATTTTTTGGTTGTTACCATACTATAGATTGTGCTTTGACATTGTTAGATCACACTGTGAACCTGTGATGTTTGCTCTAATTTGCTGATTTTTCTCTGTTATAATCTATTGTGTTACAGGTTTCCCATGAGTTTCCGCTCAATTTCAACCCATCAAATCCATTTTGTGCAGGTGTGTTTACAGATAAATGCACTGGAGCTGATGTTTCATTACTTACTATACACATGCACCCTAGTACACTGTAGTTCTCAGATTGTAGTGTGTTTAATCAATGGTGTCTGTATGGGTGTGTGTAGGTGTTGAAGGTGTGGTTGAAGCCTACAGAAGCTGCCTGCCTCAAGTCAAACTGTACGGCCCCACCAATTTCTCCCCGATTATCAACCACGTGGCCTGCTTTGCAAAGCAAGCCCTCCAGCAGACCACTGCAGCTGTGAGTATTTCACCTCTTCAGCTCACTCACTGTAGGCAAGGGCTTTCAGTTTCATATTTGAAATTTAATTTAATGCTTTAACATGCGGACCATCTACAATTGACAAAATAAGCGATTGATGCATGCTTAGCATACAACCCCACCCAGTGGATGAACTGAGGGACTGCACCAAGGGCTGGTATAAGATAAATAGGGGTTGTTCTATGCTGTGAATAATGCAAACTCCAACATTATGGAGTAGAAGGATATGAGCCTAGTAGGTTACCTTTTACTCTACAACTCTGTGAGCATTTGCAATATTCCAGCCTGCACTGAAGAGTAAGAGATATTAGTAATGTCATGAGTAGTGCAGTCTACAAATTCATATGTTTAGTCATCGGTTCTAGTAAGATCATAGTGTGTTAAAGTCTTAGCACTCAACTTGAAAACCTTGCAAAAACATTTGCTTTTGGAGCGAGCAAACTCAAAAATGTTTTTTGTACATCCCAAATCCAAAACTAAAAAACTGCAAGTGTTTGCAATATCTCTTGGAATTTGTGAGCCATTATTGGATACTGTATTTGGGAAAATAATTAATCTTACATCATGGCCACATATGCTGTCCTGTTAATAAGGGAAAAAGTGGGTTATGAATTCACTACCTCATTTATACTCTCAGTAAACATTTGGTTCAGGCAGTCCTGTCAGTGTAATGGTTGTATAATCTTCACATTGAAGCAGGTGATTTGATAATAGCTTAATCAAAGCTACAGGATAACAGGGGATGGGGCTTTCTGATGCTCGAGGGGCACTAAGCAGTAGAACTGAGCAAATATCAGAGTTTTGATGAGGATTCAAAAGCTTCTTGCTTACATGTTGCTGTAATAGTTGTGTTTTTGTTGTTGTTGTCTTCTTGTAGCAATATTTTGTTCTGCTGATCATCACTGATGGAGTGATCACGGACATGGACGAGACGCGCAACGCTATCGTCAACGCATCTCGCCTGCCCATGTCTATCATCATCGTCGGGGTCGGAGGGGCGGACTTCAGTGCCATGGAGTTCCTGGATGGAGACGATGGTCGTTTGCGCTCTCTCACTGGCGAGGCTGCCATGAGAGACATTGTCCAGTTTGTACCATTCAGGCAGTTTCAAAATGTAAGTGACAGTAAAAACATCAAGTTTTTGTTGTTTTTGTTTTATATCTATATGTACCAGGTTTCTGGATGCTGTTAGCTTTGGGTGTCCCCCTGATTTTTCTGTCCACATTGCATGTACTTTGTTTTTTTTTGTTTTTTTCTAAGCTGACATTAAAATTACAAACTAAACGGAGCAGAGTGTTTCTCGAGCCAATACCAGTTAATCATATATATCCAAAGTGAGGGATTGCCTGCGCCTCAGCCTAAAAATCATCTAAGCTGTTTTCACACATGAAATGTTGCGGGAAACATGTTCGGACAACCAGAAAATGTCCCTTCTCACATTTTCCACATCCCAAGAACAATGCCCATGTGGGCCCACAGTGGGAAAGTGTGGGTGAACTGTGGGGTTGTGTAGGCGGGGCAAACCCACACTTACACCATGTAAGTCCCAAGTTGGGTGTGCTAATGCTGGGTCTCTGCTTCGTGTAGTCCACTCTATGGGCTGCCTCACTGGAGCCTTACATTTCATGCCAGTGAAATATGCTGTTTGGTGTAGGAGAGGAGGTTTCATGGGCTCTTCCCACATGAGTACGTTGTTAAAAGAGAGCCGGGAGGCTGACGGCCGTTTAATGTCCAGTCTGACTGAGACTGACAGATGCATTACCACAACCTGTGTAATGTCTGGAAACATGCAGAGCTACAGCGCATGTGTGGAAACAGCTTTAGCTTATCTCTTTGCTTTGTTTTATCCATTTCTTTTCAGGCGCCCAGCCAGGCTCTTGCCCAAAGCGTATTGGCCGAGTTACCTCAGCAAGTGACCTCCTTCTTCAGTTCATTGAAACTGAAGCCTCCCCAAGATCCTAGTCCTTCATAGGGGTACCTCAGAAATATTAAGTCATAAACCCTGCTTTCATCTAACTTCTCCTTCACCTGCACGAAAAACTGCAGCATGCGATTCATCATCAGTCTGGTACAACAAAGTCTGTCGTACTGTCTGACTGAGGATCTGTGGCTCTGGTTAAAGGCACTGGTGGCACTCTGACTTATATTAAAGGAAAATTCCTCTATTTACGTAACGCTGTTAAAGCGGCACTTTGTTGTTAAAGTGATAAGCAGCTGAGCACATCTTTGATCGGTCCAGGAGTTTTGATTAATGTTAGCCTACCACCGGCCTCAAAAGTATGCTGCTGGAGTGTGACATAATTACAGCCTCAGAAAGTGTCAAGATAACATCTGAAATCCAATGTTTATTAAAATGTGTGGAATTTTCCTTTAAGCTCTCTTCATTTCCATCACTCTCTCCTTGCTGTGTTCAATACTCGTGCAAGGAATCAGTTAAAAACATGTAGAATTATTTTCCTCTTCACTGTTTTTGACTTGACTCTTTTTGCTCTTCAGGCACCGAAGGAAGCGCTGGCAAAGACCGTGCTGGCTGAAGTACCAGGTCAGCTGGTGGATTTTTTTAATACCATGAAACTGAGTCCACCCAACTCCAACCCTGCAACCAACCCTGCAACCAACCCTGCAACCAACCCTGCAACCAACCCTGCAACCAACCCTGCAACCAACCCTGCAGGCACTGTGTAGCAGACTCATCTCATCTCCAGCAACTATAGATCACCTCATAGCTTCCTCACATTATCCAATCACCACACTGAGATAATAGAAAACACATCCTACACAATCACTCTCCTCGGTTGAATAATCTGTTATTGCTTTTAGATGCTAAAACAGGCTTGGTGCTTTTGAGATTACAGTGAATTCTAAAGCAACTGCAAGATAACCCACACTAAGATTTAAGGCTTTAGTGTTAATGTAATATTTACTGAATAACAGGATATTCAGATTTACAAGATAATACACTGCAAAGCAGTGTGATTAATTTTTTTTTAATGCGTGTTTGTTGGCTCCAGAAGCAAATTATAAAAATTAGGTAAAATGTAGAATAGGGAGTTCTGGGCTTCTCTGCTTAGGCTGCTGCCCCCACGAGCCGGCCCCAGATAAGCGGGAAAAAATGGATGGATGGAGGTAAAATGTAAAATAATAAAGATTATCTTTTGATAGCATCATACCACATGTTTATTCTTGTTGTTTTTGGCACGTGGAGCTTCTTCTAAAAGCTGTGGCATTATTGCACATTTATAGCAAAACATTATATTATTCTGTTTAGTTAGAATGAAATGCCAAACCCAGAGTATTATTCTGAAATGATGTTGTGATAACTGGAATGTATAATGCCAGTTTCTAGTTGTGTGTCAGCTACATTTAGATACTTTATCACTTGGATGAAGATTAGCAAAGTTACCACGGGATCATTTCTTCAACTGGACCTACAACTAAGAGGAACATAAATCAGTATTAAACATGCTGGCACAGTAGAAACCAAACTCAGGGCTGATCGTTAGTCATATATAGAGTCTAAATGATACAGTAGTCTTTAAGATCGATAATGATATTTGGTGAGTTTAATAATCTGATACTTTGATATATAGGCAGACTTACCTTGTTTACTCTGCCCACCTTTGCTTGTTTTGTGGCTTTCCAAACATACATGCTGCCAACAGGGGAGCTGCATGTTTCAAGGGCATATCTACCGTAACTTCTTTTACCTGATACTGAAGGATTGGCAAACAGCTACATTGTTCGGGTGATAAATGGATCAGGTCCTAGTCATGTACATGTATGTTTTTTTTTGTTTGTTTTTACCTTTTTGTTTTTATATGGTTTTACAATGAAACAAATGTATCACGTTTCATCTGCTTTGTGGTCTGAAAGAAGTGGGAACTGTGCCTTCATTGTGCATTAAGCATGCAAATAAAGCCTATTTTATTCAAACAAATTAAATCAGAGCGTCATTTAACCCTTACAAAGAACAAGAAACTGTTTATTTCTCATGCACACAGTAAAGTTGAAGCCATTTCTGTTGCTACTAATGTTAGTGTTAATTCCACAGCTTAGTTTAGGATGTTGATCCACTCTGCTGGTCTTGAGTGTAAGGATTTGTGGATACAGTCATGTACGGTATTTAAAAGACAGACGAGGCTTTCAACTCTGCAAACTAAAGCCAGTGCGGAAGTGCCCTGAAAATGCATTCTTTCTAATGCCCACAGTATACATGTGTATACTGAAGAACGCTGGTGGAGAGTTGCTCAGACTCTAGGAGGCCATGCTCAAGAGAGGGCGAGGAGGAAGCTCCAGCTGCAGGATGCAGGGAACTACCTGTCACCACTTCCTGTGTGGTGAGGATTTAAGAGTTTGAATGTAACTTCTCACCATGCGGAGGAGTTTAGGTGTTTTGTAGAATAAAGTTATAAGAATGATCTTTTAAACCTATTTAAAGAATCACAGAAATATTGAGTGATGCTACATTAGACTGTTTTTTTGCTGCTCTTTGACTTCAGCAGGAGGAGGTGAACCTACAGCTGGGAGCGATTCCCTGGTGGGTGTGAGGATCGTATTTCCGTTATTCCTGGTCTGTACCTCAGACAAGAACTGAGTCAGCTTTTTGAAGTTTTCCTACAGAAAGAGGACTAAGACGGCAACACACTCCTAATGATGTCTTCTCAGTGTTGCCATAATGTTTTCAGTTGTTAAATACTAAACTAAAACCAGATAATTCAGTGTTGAATATTCCACAAAAGTTCCACATTTAGAAAAGTGACCCCAGACAGTCTACGAAGGTGTTTTTCTGTCCACAAAGTAAATATGATTCAAGAATCACCAATTACACGATTTCAGCTAAAAAAAATTCACATATCAGCTTTCTCTAGATTTAAGTCTTAATGAATAATATGTTCATTTTGTGAGTTACATTCCCCCCGTGAGGCAAAGAAACGATAAAGCAAAGTATACTTAAGGGCAGACCTCCCATGATATTGCCAAATCACCACCATATAATCTCTCCCTTGGCCTCTCAGTTGAGGTCTGGTTTCAAAAAGCTTGACTTGATATAAGCTGTACAACTTACCGAAATTATTACCACAAAAATCAAGGTATTATTCAGCTATTAGTGAATCAATTGAATCTAAAATTCAAAAATAAATGCTCGTGCAAAGTTCACACAAATACTTTATTGTGTAAAAGTGTACAAAGATACAGCTTGTTCACTGATGTCACTGTCAACAATGCAGAGTGATAGCAGTTGTAACTTAGAGATACTAACCCCCTCAGGCTAACGACCTATAATCAGGCACTTCACATTATTATATAAAAATAGGTTGCTGCCTTTGTGGAGCTGTTCTTATTTAGTGTCACATTTCCTGCTAACATCACCTTCTGCTCAGGCTGTGAACCCAGCTTATCTGAACTACTGCCTGAAAGATGACACGTGAGCACTACAGCAAACGTCTGATCTACAGTGAAGATGGATGCATCTCAGTGCTACAAACCTACATAAATCACCTTATAGATCACATGACTAAGACATTCTTTACTTTGCGTTACAGTGCTGAAGCTCTACACCTTCTCCAAAGTAGCTAGTGGAAACCTCACATCTTGAGTGGAGGTTTATTTTCAGTTCTCCAGCAGCTCAGCCGACTGTATTTTTATGTCAGTTCTGCATAAATCAAAGAGCTTCAAATGCTGGAAGAGGAGCCGGATCCTGGATAGAATTACATGCGGTGGATTTTGTGGTGATCCATGAACTGTTTGAGGTTCTGCAGGTTGTCCCACCACGTGAAGAGGAAGGTCTCTGCAATGAGACTGAACCAGGGCGTGATCTCCAGTTCTTTGCGCTTGGCCTTCTCCAACATCTCCTTCAGCTCCTCTTTGCTCACATAACAGTGGCTTTTGATCTCATTGGGGTCTGGATTCAAGTCCACGTCCTGTGGAGAGGCATAAGAAAGGATTGACTTTGATGCATGACTGATAGACAAAAGGCAGACTCGCAGACAAATGAAATCCAGATACACGCTACATCAAGATAAATGAAAACAGCTGTCTGTAAAGTTAATTTGCTCAGGAGTAATCATGTTTTTTGCTCCATTCCTGCTTCCTCTAAGCCGGTACTCTCTCATATTGTCTGAACCTTGTAAACATGAGGCCTCTGTGCTCATACCCAGAGCTGTATGCCTTTGAGACCACATTAGGGATGCTCTCTATATGATACAGAGTCATGAGCCATTACTTGCACATATGCTGACCTCATTATAGGAAAAACTGGACATGTTTAATGTGGGCTGTCACAGTTTGCATGCTTAACTTTAAATCATCATGGAATTGTATCCGTATCTGTAGAACACCTTAAAATTTAAGGTGATAATATTCAGTTGTATGATTGTGGTCAGTGACTCACTGAGCTAACATGCACCTAATATATGCGCATTTTAATTTTTGCATGCCAGTCACAAACACACACATTAGAGCAGTTTCACCTGAGGCAGGTCCACCTCACATCAGTGTCCTGCAGAGTGACCACAAGTTAGTTTGAAGAGCTTAATGATTACATCCTGTGTACATGAAGCATATTCCTAAATGAAGCTATTCTTTTAAATCCACAGAACTCATGTACTCAGAGGTAAACTC